CTAAAATAAATTTTCCTCGGGATTATTCTAGCAAAGATTTCTTATTCATTCAAACATTATTTAATTCTACTAATCGTAAGGATAATCTCTAAAATAATTTCAACATTTCTCTCGAACAAGTTAACTCGTAGATATTAATTGTTATCAATCTCCTCTCGGTCTCAAGATGAACAACTAACTCCCATAAGTTCCTAGAATTTTAATTCCCTCGCAAGATTCTATCAACCTCTCAGTCTGTTTAGTCTCCTACGTTATGAATTTCCCAATTCTAGCAATCAACTATCTCCTCTTGGTCTCAAGCCAATCACAAATATGCATAAATACGGGCCTTATATTCACACAATTCATATAAGCACAAGAAATTGATAAACGAAAGATAGACCGGAATGAATAATAAAAATTACTTCATAAAATAATCCCAGTACTCACAAATCCTAGAATCTCAAAAAGATTTAGCTACTAAACATATTCTCAAAACTCAAAATTAATAAATCCATGAGTTCAATGAAGAATAAAAAGAGAAAAGAAAGAAGAACTATTGTCGCCGTTAGTTCCCGAATCTTCAATCTTGACTTCCTCGAATTCCTCGTGTGTTTCGTGCTTTCTCTTGGCCTCCAAAGGTGTCAAAAGTCCCAAAATCAAGTTCTTCAAGGTCCTTTTATACTGTACAGCAATTATCAGTCAAAAAGGGAAGAAATCGCATGGGAATCCTAATCCTCGCTGAACTGATATGCGCATCACACGGGTCGTGTCACTAGTCCCACGAGTCGTGTGACATTTTCTCCAAAAAAATAACAACTCCCAGACTCACACGACCTATCACACGAGTCGTGTGCGTCCACATGACTCGTATGACATGTCACACGAGTCGTGTACATCCATACGACTCCTGTGACATGCAACACGATCCGTGTGAAAAAACCGTAGCCGAAACTCTCTATTTTCCATCCACACGACTCGTGTCACTGACCCACACGAGTCGTGTGTCCCGAACTTCACCACTTTTTTGTCGTTTTTCTTCCGACTCCATTTCTAACGCTTTTTCTGGCATAGTTCCTACAAACTAACGACAAAAATACCTCTATTATAGATTAATAAATAAAACAAAAGGGTGCACAATCAAATAATAAACACAGCCAAATATCGCAATCTATCACTCATAATGCATGAAAATATGATGAATGTCAAGAATTCATTAGCAAACTTTGAAAATATGCATAAATCAATATGAGAAAAAACTGCATGATTTTTTATTTCGAGAGATACCAAAGGGTGGTTGAAAATGCAAAATGAGGAGCAAAGGAATCTACTCTAGGAGTCAAGGTTCGACCGGAAAGTGGCAAGTCTTTTGGATCTCTACCTCGTCGACAGGTCCTTCGGTTCGACCTCATCGGATGGTCATTCGGTTTTCTACCCCATCCGTCATCATTCGGTTTTCGACCTCAGTGTTAGGTCATTCGGTTCTCTACTTCATCAGCAGTTATTCGGTATTCGACCACAGTGCGGTCATTCAATTTTCGACCTCAGTGGCAGGTCATTCGGTTCTCTACCTCATCGACAGTCATTCGGAATTTGCCACATCGACAGGTCTTTCAGTTTTCAACCTCAGTGGTCATTCAGTTTTCAATCTAAGTGGTAGGACATTCGATTTTTTACTTCAATGGTAGGTCAATCGGTTCTTTGCCTCATCAACAGTTATTCAGTTTTCGACCTCAGTGGAAGGTCATTCGATTTTTTACCTCAGTGGTAGGTCACTCGATTTTCGACCTCAGTGGCGGGGCACTTGGTTTTCGATATTAATGGAAGGTCACTTGGTTTTCGACCTAAAGGTGGCGTCAAGTCATTCAATTTTCGACCTCAGTGGAAGGTCATTAGGTATTCGACCTCATCGGCGGTCATTCGGTTCTCGACCTAAGTGGCAGATTATTCTGTTATCGACCTCAGTGAAAGGTCATTTGGTTTTCGACCTCGGTGGAAGGTCATTCTGTATTCGACCTCATCGGTGGTCATTCGATTCTCAACCTCAGTGGCAGGTCATTTAGTTTTTTACCTCAGTGGTACGTCCGCGGCGGGGTTGTGATGAGTTTCCATTTCATTGGCCTACCGTGATGGCTGGTCGGCCCACCCCGCCCGCCAAACGACGGGTTTTGGTGGGCTGCGCCGACCTGTTTTGACATGTCTAATTTTCGACCTCAGTGGCGAGACATTCGGTTTTCGATCTTAATGGAAGGTCATTCTATTTTTTGCCACATCGGGTGGTCATTCGGAATTCGACATAATCGACAGGTCACTCGGTTTTTGACCTCATCAGCAGATCATTCAGTTTTGGACCTCAGTGGCGGGGCATTCGATTTTCGATCTCATTGGCAAGTCATTCAGTTTTCAGCCTCATCGGGTGTTCATTCGGTATTCGACCTCATCGACAAGTCACTCAGTTTTCGACCTCATTGGAACGCCATTCAGTTTCTTACCGCAGCGGCGGGTCAGTCGGTTGTCGACCTCATCAGCAGGTTATCCCGCTTTCTAACCTATTCGACGAGACATTTGATTTTCGACCTCATTGGCAAATCATTTGATTTTCGACCTCTGTGGAAGGTCGTCTCTTTTAGTGCTCATCTGGAGGTTATTCAGTGGTAACTCAGGATATTTGGTGTTCATTTGGTGGTCATCAGATTCATTTTATGGTTATTCAGATTATTCAGAGGTCATGCAGATCATGCGATGTTCATTTAATGACTATTTGGTGATCGAGGATTTATTCAAATTATAATCTTAGTGGTGGGTTGACGAAAACAGCCAGAAGAAGCATTTCACTCTTAGATCGAGTTATACTCACTCGACCATAGTGGGGAGGACTAGATGATATGGAATATCATAACTAGACAGATTTTAATAGATAGAAAAAAATATATTGGAGAATAAACCTACACATGGGCTTGGACACATAGCATTATGATATTGGTCAAGCCCAACTTGGGCACTAAGGTACACTTCTTGGATAAAGGTCTCTCTCTACATTTACTACTATACTCTCATATTGCACTTTTTATCTATGGCGAGTGCTGACTTAGGCATTGGAGGCTCGACGCCGTGACCCTAGCCGCCGTCAAGTTCTTGCAGGTACGGAGGCCGTCTGGGTTGAAGGAGCCCGAGTGAAGTCCATTTCAGTACCAGTAGGTTTGTGTAACTGTGTGTAAAGGCATGTGTACTTTGTGAGTGTGGTGTGTGTGAGAGAGAGAGAGGGCGTGGGGGATGGTGTAATGGTAGTGGCCAGGGGGCATACAATTATTGGATGTGAGTAGGTAATTGGTACGTGTTCCACGTTTTGATAATAAAATATCTAAAATATTCTTAGTGAATATATAAATATTGAAATTTTTGTTACCGTTAGATCATCTGATCTGATGACTAAAATTTATTTTTATTCCATTTACTTAATTTATAGCTTCAATTCCATATTACGTCAAATGCAGACAAGGTAAGGCAACTGCAGTGCTGCGCTAGAATGGCCGCTCTACTCTTATGTGGCGCAATTATTCACTCCAGCATTGTTCCAGATTTATATGATACTCCACAGATAGCTACAGTGTTGCACCAGATGTGGCGCAACACTGTAGCAATTAGAGATGTTAAACGGGCTAGCCCTAGCAGTTTCGGGCTAGCCGTAGCGGGCTTCGAGCTAAACGGTCCGGGCCTAAAAAGCTCGGATTTAAACAGGCTATCAATAAAAAGACCTAACCTATATATACAACTACACTTCATATATGAACACACATTACAAATTCTTAAATAACATATTGTTTCTCAATAGAAAAAAAAAATATGTTCAAACTATTATTTATAACTACCATTTGACTAGTTATTTGGTAAGCTTCGGGAATTTTCACAATATAGCATACTGCTGAATTTATATTCTATCATTATATTCTATGTGTTAGGTTTTTGTCTCTTTTGTTTTTTATTAGCCGTTCTAATTGGCTTAAATATTTTGTTGTGAAATAGAATAAAATTTGCTAATAATTATCTATCAAAATAATAATAATACATTATAACTCATAATTGCATGAGAAGTGAAATACAAAATTGTAATATACAAGGAATTATGAGACATATTCCTTACTTTTCTAAAAACATATACACCACCCAACCCAAGTTAAAAGGGCTAGCCCTAGCGGTTTTCGAGCTAGCCCTAACGAGCTTCGGGCTAAACGGTTCGAGCCTAAAAGCCTGAATTTAAACGGGCTGCCAATAAAATGCCCTAACCCTGTTTTTCTCCGGGCTAAACGGGTTTGCCCGTCGGGCCAAGGACCATTTAACATCTCTAGTAGCAAAGCCAGATTTTTTTTAATGTATTTTTATGTAATTTTAATTATATTTTTTGTATGATGTGTATTAATAAATGTTATTTTTACTAAATAATGTGTTTTTTATACTAAATAATTTTGTGTTTTTTATTTATTGATGTTTTATAATTTTATTTTGTAATTTTTTAATATTAAAATGATAATAAAAATTTAACACAGTTATACAACAAGATTTCATTAAAATCGAACAACACACGTAAATCATAAAATACAAAAATGAATATATACACTAATTTATTTGAAATAAAAATGAATAAAAATAATATATTTGATGTAGAATAAAATGTAGAGCGAAATATTGGAGACGAAACATGATTTTTGTTTGACTCTACTCTAGAGTAGAGTAAAGTCCGCGCTATAGTAGAAATAAGGGCTGAAAATGGTCTTTTTAAGTCAACAAACAAATTCACAATCCATTTCCTTGAATTCACATTTCCATTAAACGTATGATTTGCCATCTACGGCCTACAATTTCCAAATAATTTTGGGTTTACTATAACTTGAAAGTTCCCAATAAACAAAAATTACTGAAACTACCCAAATCTTTTCACTTCCAGACCCTCCAAATTCCCAAAACTTCAATCCAGTCCCAAAAAGTTAATTCCTCCCACCATTTTACCAAAACCCTCCCATCCCTCACGCTCCGCCGTACTGAGCCAGCGGCACCACCTCCTGCAGCGGCGTCGACATCGGCGTCGGCAGCGGCGAGCTCCTGCAGACGGGACACGACGCCCTCATCTTCAGCCACGCGTCCACGCACATCACGTGGAAACGGTGGCCGCAGTCCGGTAGCACCCTCAGCACCTCCTTCTCCCCGTACTCGCCCAGGCATATCGCGCACACGCCGTCGTTTCCACAATCCCCGCCGCCGACGCTCGTGTACGCGATCTTCGGGTACGTGCTGATGACCGCCGGATCTAGCCCGGCGGCATCGTCCTGGAACCCTCCGCCGCCGCCGCCGTCGTCCTCGGCGACAAAGATCACGCGCGGGAGGCGGTAGGTGCTGATCTCGACCGGCCAGTTCGTGCCGGGATAGGTGTTTGTGGTCTGGCGGCGGCGGGCGGCGCCGGATCGGAAGCATAAGTAGGCGGAGAAGACAGTGGCGGAGGAGAGCACGAGGAATCCGAGGGCGACGGCGATGGCGTAGCCGGGGCTGATGCCGGAGACGTCATTGGGACGCGGGGGAGAGTTGGGATCGGCGGAGAAGAGAGGGGTCAACGGCGGAGGTGGCTGGGTCTGAGACATAGGGAGAATAAGGGCGTGGGAGGGGCGAAAGAGCCATTTGATTGTTGGGGCAAAATGGGGGAAAATGGGCTTCTGAGTTGGAGCATTTAGCGCTGTGGTTTGAAAACGGAAACCACTCATTCAGTGGTCAACGTCGGACTTTATGCTGTTTTATTTTACAAATCCTAATCCCTATACTTCCTTGTAAACATATGATAAGAGAAGATTGGTTAACCAAACTTATTCTAGTAACCGAGGCCTAATAGATTATGAAAATTAATTATTTAGTAAATATATAATGTAGATAAAATATTTTATGAAAATGCATACTTCATGATAAAAAATGAATACTTATACGATCATGTGTTATACTTCAGTTTTTGTTACTTATTAAAATGTGAAATATTTTCATGAAAATATATTTATTTGTTAAATAAAGTGTAAGTTTAATAATCAGATCAACCTAAAAAAAACCTATTGATAAAGATATTAGATATCTAATCACAAAGATTACAATATATATGCAATTTGAAAATAAAATATTATTCAAAGATGAGAAAAGCTACACTAAAAACTGAATTTGATATTTTAGAATCCACATGATGGTGTGAAAGATTACAATGGGTATAGGCTTTATAAGTCAAAGGTAGGCAGAGGAGTTTAGGGAACATGAATCGGATCACACGAGGTAGGTATGCGTGTAAGTGCTGACATAGATTTGAACTTCATATATGGCCAGTTTGGATGTTCACAAATCATAAATTTTTCCCTTTTTTTATTTGTTATATGTTTTTTTTATTGAATTTGATTTATTAGATAAAATGGTTTAGGATTGATTTTAATGTTAGACTGGGCAGAGATTTGAGTTTCATTTTGAGTTTATGAAGGATAAAAGTTACAATGTAATGATTAAAGTTAGTTAATGTAAAAATAGTAAAATAATTATTGTAAATACTTGATAGTTAAAAAATATGCGTACGGGTGAATAATAAATTTTGTTTGAAACTAGTCGCGACTCCGCGTTGCACGAGTCAACATATTTAATTTGAAATTTTTAAAAATCAAAGGATATTAAAATGTGAAATAGATATTATACATACGACAATAATAAACAACTCGCACAAAAATGGGAGAAAGTCATATCATATACTATTGAAAATTCCTTGTATACATTAGTTTTTTGTTTGATTTCTTGGAAAGTCGTCGTCACCACAAAACAATATTTTCAAATCGTTTTAGTTGGTGACACGGTTTACAACAATGTATAACTAGCTATGACTGAATACCGACTTCTTAAAAAAAACCAACATGGAATAATGATTGTCCTGAGCTCTTATTTATAGTCATAACATAAGTGTTGATACCCAATTTGGCTCCGATTGATTAAATAATAAATAAAATAATGAAATACTGCCCGACAACCAAGGAGCCGAAAATACGTAATAAATGAATGTAAAAACATGTCCTCAAGACAGGTCAACCAAAAGTCGATCAGATCTCTACATGTCGTGCCCGCCCACTGCTGCGCCGGACAGAGTTTAAAGTAATCGGATGGCCCACGTATCAGGAAGAAGCCGCCCTCGGTAAACGCTACAAATACCGAGAAGACAGGCGTCGATTGAAACCGTCAAAAGTCATAAGCGGGTTCCACGATGATTATCTCATATTAAATAATGATGTACCATTTTTTACTCATTTAATTGCCCACTTGCAAAAGGGAGAGGGATATATATAGGTACAAATGAGGAGAGAGAAAGGGTATTCTCTTCATTTTCTCCTCCAAACAACAAAAAGAGGAAAGAAAATCCTCTTATGAAATAAAAGGGAAACCCACATTTTTAATGATCTTATTCTTCATTTTCATACAAGAAATTTGGCTCTTATTTAACAGTTGATCGTCTGATTTTCGACATCAACAATAAGCAATCATAATTTGGAATTGGCGCCATTGAAGCTTGAAAATAATTCAGACATTAGAAAGAGTTATAGCCATTCTAGGAATCAATACCTTTCACTTGCATAATCCCCAGTGAGTATCTTACATTTCAGAACATGAGTGGAGAGCTTTGTCAGAACCAACCATGTCCCATTACACAGAACCATATAATGATCCATGTTCCACGACAACATGAATAGAGTTCCAATCTTCAAATTTAACTCATGAATCGTTATACCGGAGCATTTGATACTATTCAAGAACTTTGGCATTTGAATATCAGACAAAAAATTGTTATTTGTATCTGATTTGCATGTAATGTCGAAGCTTAAGTACGTACAACCATCAGATAAATTCGACAATGACATGTACTCATTAATGGAACCAACAACATCGAGCGTGGGAGTTAATATAGCCCTGCCCTTCAGGTAACTGGATCATCGATCGTCTGCTTAAATATTGGATATATGCTTTCAACGATTTGAGTTATTTATTCATCTGTTTAAAAAAAAATTATCTCTTCGTCATGAAAGACAATCTTCATGAAGTTTTTTTATTGGGTGTTACTATTCACCGCCCCCCATATTACTAGTCACCGCCCCCCTTGGACAATTTTGCCCTTCTCATTTTTTCTAAACATCTCAGAGGAAAGTGTACGGTGAAATGTCGTCAAATTCGGAGGTACGAAAAAATACGTGTACGGTCGCCGGTTCCGGACGGGCTAAAAGCCGTCCGGACGCCGGAACCGGACGGACTAAAAGCCGTCCGGACCGGCCGGCCGGACGACAAGTAAACCCGGCCGGAAAGCACGGCCGGACGGACCGTTGCTGTCCGAACCGGCCGGCCGGACGGCAAGAAAGCCGTCCGGAAACGACGGCCGGTCGGAACCGGTCCGTCCGGTTCGGCCGGCCGGCCGGA